GTTGTACAGGTCGAGGCGATATATCCAAAGCTTCCACCATGTCCGCGTCAAAGTCGTCTCCGAAATCATCTGAGGATCCCTGCGATGCCGGTGGCTTCGGTGCCGCTTGCACGTAATCGTCTTCTTGAACAAGCTCGTCATCCATGTCCACGGTATCTTCTAGAGGTGCCGACTCGTGCCGTATCGTTTCGGAGGTTTCTGCAAGATAGTCGCGTGCACGCCGCTGAAGAGGAGAGCCCGACGATTGATCCTGGCGATCGCCTGCACCTGGTAACGGAGACGAGCTTGAAGGCATCTGTGACGATATGCGCGGCTGTGACTTTGACACGCACTCCCTCATGCGCTGGACCATGCTCGCGATGTTGGGTTTCGCGGGCTGTCCAAGCATCATTCCATCCGAACTAGATGCGCCAGCGAAAACGTCCTCTGTAGCTTCCTGCTCCGGCTGAAACACACCGTGGGTTCTCCGTTTCTTCCGGGTCGATGCGGGGAACTCTACGCCACAGCTTGCCCATCTCCGAAGTCCACTGACACTTCCAGCAGCAGCCATCGACCTGGGTGACGATTCGTTGATGAGATGTGCAAACGCCACGCTTTTGTTGGCACTTGGTGTTCCCTTGTTGTTCGTGTATCGTGACCATAGCTCCATAGCAGGGTCGGCCTGGGGTGTCGTGATGTCTTGCCTGGCGCCGTCGAGTCTGTGGTCGTCTTGCGATGGTCCGACAGGCGACGAGCTCCTAGCGCGCTTCTTGTTCTTCCGAGGCAGTGGCGTGTTCACTGCTTGCGAGCCCCTCCATATCAGCGTCTCTTCGGGCGAGGCGACGGGTTGCGGCGCGTGTCTCGAGGAATCGTCGACGTTGCCTACCAGATCCGCGAGCGGCAGCCTCGTAGTGGCGGGAGTTGATGGCGGCGGACAATCGAGAATGGTGGGCAGCTTTGGAGTCTTGTTCGTGGTTCCCACATCTTTCGCGACACGATTCGCCTTTGGTGTCCCCATGGGCTTTGGTGTCTTTCCGCGCGCGGTCGGTAGATTTTCCTTCTCCGCCTCGCGCTGTCGGAGGGATTCCGCGGTGGGCGCACCCTCGATGAATTGGAAAGCTTTGAGCTTGGTGCGTGTCTGGGTCGAAGGCATGATGGGAGGGCCAGTGACTACTTGCCGAGCCTGCGGCGCCGCCTGGTTACTGTTTTGGTGGGGGAAGTTGCGTGGGCGGTTCCATTGGCCCTTGAACTGCTGCTGCGAGGGTGAGAGGTGAGTAGGCGCGCGCAGTGAAGGCAGCGGGCTATCCAAGTACCTTTGGCTTTGGGTTCTGGTCAAAGAAGGACCTCTGTCGCGTGGACATGGAGATGGTTGGTAGCGTCAGCGTCTTGAAAGCACAGAACGCGACAGACGCGTCGTGAGTGGCCAATCACGTTGGGCGAGGCGAGAGCTCGTGGCGATACGCGCTCGGGCCGGCTACTGGGAGCCGATGTGCGACACAGCTCCGAGTGCGGGGACCTGCGCTGGCTTGAACCACTCTTCGCATGAATTGCATCTACGGGGACACAGGCACGATGAAATTTAGGCTGTTCGATTGGAAACTACGTTAAAATCGAGAATCGTAGACAAGCCCGGTCTAGACCGACTGGCACGTGCAAGCTTCCGTCATAGTCCTCGGACGTCCTGATTGATACAGTCACGGAATTGACACGACTTGGCGTATCGCAGGTAGCTCCGCGTATCACAAAAGTAGCAAGACATGTCTAGAGGCAGGGACGGGTCAGATAGTCGCTTTTGCGCCAATCGAAATGGTGTCAATCGAAGACGGGAAGCTAGGACCACGCCTAAGCGGAGTTTGGACATTCATCCCACGCTCTAGCACTCTTTCCCCAGATTGTGCGCGCCGACCGTGAATCGCTCACCCAACAGCGCCCATCTCTCTTCTCTCACCCTCGGCCATCTCATTACCTCCCACCCCAACCGCCAACATGTCTGCTGCCGATGCGAAGCCATTGCCTTTCGTCTACCAGTTCGCGGCTGGTAAGTTCCAATTCTCTTAACACCGCTCACCTCCGATGCGACAGCTACCCGAGAGAAATCCGGCTCCGCACCAAGCAAGAAATCTATACGCGCTTCTTTCCGATTATCGCACAGGGCATTCCTGCGTGCCAGTTGAGCTTCAGCGATGTCAATCAGTACTAACAATGTCCAGGTGCCGTGGCTGGTGTGTCAGAAGTGAGTGCGCAACTGTCTATGGAGCTCGCGTGAGATCAACTGTGCTAATGCAGCTCTTGTAATAGATTCTGATCATGTATGTCTCTTCTCCCATCCACACTTTCTAGGCTTAGACACTAACACTATCTCCAGGTACCCGCTGGACGTCGTCAAGACCCGGATGTAAGCGACCGCATGTGAGACCACCTCTGGATCGCCTCTAAACATACACAGACAACTTCAGACCTCTGGCAAGGTGGTCGGCGACGAGGGCTACAATGGCATGATGGACTGCTTCAGGAAGATCATCAAGAATGAGGGGTACGCTATGACGCTCCTGCGATCATAAGCAAGAGGGGTTGACATCTGCCAGTGCGTCGAGATTGTACCGCGGTATCACCGCGCCTATCCTTATGGAAGCTCCCAAGAGGTACGCGCTCTTCCACGCTCTTTCTATTGCAAGAATGAAGAAACTCATCTCACGCGACACAGGGCCACCAAGTTCGCAGCCAATGACTCATGGGGTTCCTTCTACCGCAATCTGTTCGGCCAGGCCAAGATGAACCAGTCGCTCTCCATCCTCACCGGCGCAACCGCAGGTGCCACCGAAGCCTTCGTCGTCGTACCCTTCGAGCTTGTCAAGATTCGGTTACAAGACAGGGCGCAAGCCCACAAGTACAACGGCATGGTCGACTGCGTTACCAAGATCGTCAAGCAGGAAGGGCCGCTCACCCTTTACCAGGGTCTTGAGTCGACCATGTGGAGGCACATCCTGTGGAACGCTGGATACTTTGGCTGCATCTTCCAGGTCCGCGCTCTCCTGCCCGCGGCAACCACCAAGAAGAGTCAAATTACCAACGACCTCATGTCTGGCGCTATCGGTGGCACGGTCGGCACTATCCTAAACACTCCCATGGACGTTGTCAAGTCGCGTATTCAGAACTCTCCCAAGGTCGCAGGATCGATTCCCAAGTACAACTGGGCATGGCCGGCTCTCGGTACGGTCATGAAGGAGGAGGGCTTCGCGGCACTATACAAGGGATTCACACCTAAGGTCCTGAGATTGGGACCTGGAGGCGGTATCTTGCTGGTCGTCTTCACCGGTGTCATGGACTTCTTCCGCAACATGCGCGACGGCAAATAAGTGATGTCTAAGCTCGGTGTCAGTCCGCGTAGTGTTTAGACCACTCGACCATCCTAGAGTAGAAAGGAATCTCTTGATGTAGATTACGTATCCTGTATCCGCTTGCTACAAAGCATGGCTGGGTCAAATCACATTCTTCAAACCATGTCTATGGCGCCACGAACTCGTGCTGGCCTTTTATTGATTCTGAGAGCAATGCTCTACTGTCCAGTCATAAGTTCTTCACCTCCATGCTGGATGGTATCGTTATCTTTCATTGTTGCAACGCAGAAGATCAGCACTGTTCATACATCCGAAGCTGCCAGTAGAAGGGTTGCACTAACATCAAGTATGGCCTGAGTCTACGTGCGCGAAAGTTTAAACAGCTTCTCTAGAGGCTTGCGCTATCCCCCACAAGTGGAATATCACATCCCGAAACCAGCGCAGTCCAACACATGCCAATCCCGCGTTCTATCAACCCCAAACAACCCCACTTACGCGGCTAGACACGGGTGACGTCACCCTCCCCTCCAAGCCCTCACCATAGCCCATCTTGCTGCCTGGTGACCCCTAAAGCCCAAACAAACAAGTTAGTTCACGCAAGTGCCAGCCAGGGTCTACTTGCATAAGTACTGCATCCCCTCTACCCCACTATCCAACACTACAAAACAATCCAAACACTACAACAACCTCCACCATAAGACGACTCTCGAGACTCCGCGCAAGCAAACACGTACATCCACACAGACTCTATACCACCCGAACACCACCACACAACATGCCTCTCGTAGTCCCCGGTCTGCAGTCCAAGGACGGAAACTCCAACGATGACTGGATGAGCAAGCTTATGGGCAAGAAGCTTGGAGACCAGCATGACGAGATGGTGAGTTGCCTCTCACTATTACTTATCCCCTGATCCCCTCTCCCTGTTCTGTGCACTGAACCTCAGCGCTAACTCAACGCCACTCTCAGACTTTCGCAAAGACCGACCTCCCCCAGCAACACCGCGTTCTCAACGAAGGCGATATGAAGACAATGGACTTCCAGCCCGAGAGGCTGAACGTTCACCTCGATAAGGACGGTACTATCAACAAGGTTACCAAGGGTTAAGCGGTTGTCCTATGGCACGGTCGTTGGGTGTGAGGGCACAGCTATCATGAACGAAGGCATGAAGGCATGAACCTTTGAGGGCCGGACCTCAGGTCTTGTTAGTAGGCATATGAGGACTTATCAAGTCACAGAAGTATAAGCCATCAGTGCACTTGAAGTGATGAATGATAAGTGAGAAGTGATAAGTGATAAGTGATAAGTGATAAGTGATAAGTGATAAGTGATAAGTGATAATTAATGAGAGTGTATCTGAAAAGAGATGTCTGTCGCCACCTTTCCGACTAAAAGTAAACAGTTGAACTCCTAAAACGCCTTACAATGATATCGTACAGTAAATGTGAAAGTATATACATCCGTACGAAGAAAGTAGATGTCACGCCTAGATACCCGCGAATGTTTGCGAGATGACAGAAGAGTAAGGCTGCGCCTTGTCAGCTGTGGGCCTAAGCCCTACAGCCCTATATGAGCACAGATACCGATTCCAGGTGGAGCATTCGGAGACGCCGAAAGACATTGCCACTGTGGAGAAAGCTTGTCGCGACGTCGGTTTCTTGGAGTGGTGCATATGGGAGTTTTTCAATTTTTCGATCGCTTCCTTGACACGAAGCTGTCGTTTCTTATCAGCTGTCCCTCACCAGAATTCTTGCCCAAGGCTGCAACGACATCGGTCATCCTCAGCATCGTGGAATGAATCGCTTCAGGATGCTCAAAGCACAACATGATGCATGCCCGCATCGTTGTTGCGGAAAAGTACCTTCGCAGGTTCTTGTCTGTACTTTTGTTGCTTGCAGCCCCTATGACCAGACCTATCCATAGCAGCACTCCAGCCATATCAGACCAGCAGTCTGTGATGTCTGATTTCTCGAGGGCTTCTCGCAGTTGGCGAAGCATGGTGTCTCCACTGACTATTCGTGTGAAAACTTGTTGTTGAAGGGGGACGTCCGATGAGCTTGATTGCAATGTCGAAAGTGAGGGTCGTGAGAATGTGGATGAGTTCGATAAGCGATGGTTGAAAGGAAAACCTTCGCTGTTTGAACCAAACATAGGACTCTCGGTGAAGTCAGTAGCCGGGCTGACGTCCTGAATTTCGAGGGTCGAGGAGAAAGAGCCGTTGGAAAATGAGGCCGCGGACGAGCTGTACATGGCCGTTTGCGGTTCCGGTACCTGCACACGGTCGAGCGCCTCTGATAAAGGTACTTGGTCGAACATGGCCTGAGCCTGTACAATCGCGGCGAGGCGAATCGCTTCATACTTCCAGTCAATCTTATTTAGAATGGTCGTTCTGCGAGATTGTTGTACAGACTGAGATCCAATGATGCGGTCGTAAGCGCTTCGCGACTTATTTGAGATACCTGCACGCCTCGAGCCATTGGTATCAAGCAAGTCTTCCATCATCGTGCGAACGTCTTCCAGGAGCTTCTGCGCATTCGCATTACAATTTGCCGACCTCTCGATCGTCATGAATTTGCCGTGTGGATGGTATAGTGGCGATTCCGGTATCGTAGCGATCAAAGGATATGTCTTTATCGCCCGCATCTCGCAGTGATCGACGTACATCGGAGTGGGTGGAATTTCTTGTAAAACTGCAGTCGCAAGATTTGCCCATGAGACTGCAGATGCTAGCTGACCATTCACACCCAAGTTTCGGAGCCCACCGCGTTGGTTAATCATCGTTGCAATTCCGTTCTGATGGAAGCGTAGACCTACGTCGGTCCGACTTATGACATCTCCCAGTATGAGCTGGCTGACGGCAATGATGTTGTGATCTGCGACACTCTGCTCCGTGTTCGTAAGATTTCCACCCACAAAATGTATAACATCCTGACGCAGGGCTGCGGTCTCCAGACTCTCTACTTCGCGCTTGTGTATGACATCGTCGTGTGCGGAAGCCATGTAGAGGGTGCTGAGGAAGGTGTGTGGGTGGTCAAGACATTCAGGAATCCAGTGTTTTCCCAGACCCTGCGTGCCGAAATATCTGGAGCATTTGAGCTTCAATTTTTCGACCTTCACGCGAGTGTTTCTCGATTGGAACATGGTCATGAAAGGGTCGAGCCCATTCCCGAGACAGTGCAATTCTGGCACTGGACGTTCGTCGAATGGATAAACGCGATCATCCATCATTGGAACAACAATGGGTGTCTGGGTGAGGGTCGATTGGTGAGGCCTAGTCCGTGCTACCTGAGCATCATGGTGGGGAGCCTCCTGACTGCTGCTCGTAGACTGCGACAACCGGTGTATCTTATCATCACTCTTCTTCGCCTTCACTTTGGGTGTTTTGATTGTTCGTAGTTTCGTGGTGCTTTGGGAACCTAAGCTCGATCGCGAATGATCCGAGGCTTCGCTATTGGCCCTATTTTTGTCGCTGACCTGATTCTTTGTAGCTTTTAGATAGCTGCCCATCGCGGTTTGGCGTACGGTTTGCATGGTGGCCTTTGATTTGAAATCGCTGGGTTTGGTGGCGGTAATCCATCGAAGGCTCGCATTGTCAGGTGACTTCGCCGTTGGCGAAGAGCTCGACTTCCGAGGCGGCATGAATTCTACTGGATATTAGCGACTGGCACCACTGAGTGATCTGTGGATGGCGATCAGGGGTTCTGCTGATGTTGGTGATCGTGTTACACACCGTGTAGGTGCAGCATGCGCAGGCAGTGGACCTCGGCCGTAGCGAGAGCGCCTTCCGCATGTGGTACGCGCATCAAGTCCGTTCAATGATACGAAAAGGCACGCTCACCATTGAGTTGCTGCGGAGGCGACATGACATTTCCATAGAAGCTTGAGTCCGATGCGATCGTCGAGGGTGGTGAAGGATAGACAAATGGCATGTGATGGGCGGAGAAGAGCGGTCGTGCGGCTGGAGGGGCAGTCATTGTTGTCGACTAGCCCGATAGTACTCAAGGATAATTGGCAAGCGCGATGATGTTCGATTCGGTGATCGGAATGTGTGGGTCATTCCTATGGCAGATGTTAACGATTTAGATGGAATCTGAGCAACAAAAGACGAAGGATCGATCGGTATCGGGTAAGGCTGAAAGCAATGGGGCCAGAAGTATATATACGCGGCTGGTGACAGTGTGCCTTGCCGCCCGTGAATATTTCCAGAAAGGGCGCAATTCCAGCCATACAAAGCTTTGTGCAACAGATGAAGCGGAAAGCAGGCAATTGTGCGTCATAAAGCGTGTGTTGAGTATGCGCAGCAACGTGCTGGTGCTGGGATGAGTATACGGTGAAGGCAGTCGTGGCTGAGTCCTTAATGCTTGTTGCGACGAGTGAACGAGAGGCCTGCGCGCCGGGGAGGAGGCATAGTTGGTTGCCTGAACGCCGACCCATTGCACTGGTGCTCGCTTTAGCGCGGGACCCGTCTTAGACGCAGCACGAGTAAGTAGGGCTTTCGGGGATCCGTCAAAACTTTGGAGCAGTTTGCCATGTTGGATGGAATGGGCTTGGTGCAATGCGCGCGTTGCCACTGTGAGCAGAATCACGAGGCTGTATCCTCTCAGTCCTTCTACAATCTCTGTGAGGGGCTTCACCCACATCGATTTCCTCGTGAGGAGACCAGGCCCTTCATTGGACGTTGCTTCGCACGTGCGAAAGCTGACCTCCAAGCCCTGAAGACGCTGTAGAGGCCCAGCGCGTCTCACCGCCCGGTTGATGCCACCGCATCCCCCGAGCGCATGCCAACCCTGCTATCTTATCTAGACACAAAGTTTGGTCGAGCGGCGGACGTAGATGTCTTTACCAAGCCATTTCGTCCCATGGAACCCTTGGCTCAGCTACGTACCTCTCCGCTACACACGACACGAGACATCAGGCGATACTACGTTAGACGGAGCACACAGATACGACCGCAATCTAAACGTTCGCTTACCAGTTGACCAGCTACGTGGGTGCGCCGTGCCTCGGGATCCCGTCAAGACGCGGTAGAAGAGGGCAGACTGGTCGAGCTCACCAATCGCGAGGTAAACTCCTCTTCCTCCCGTGAGGTTGGATAAGCAGCCCTGTGGGGTCGATACGACCCTGCATTGCTACTCATTGGAGAGAGCAAAGCCAGACCCATATTTTGGGACCATCAATAGCACACGGCACCCCGAGTACCCAGATCGCCTAACATCACCAGGTGGCTGTTTAATTATTCGAGTGGTGGTCAATGTATGTTCAGCGGTACCTAGGTAGCGACGTCGGCCGAACCATTACTGCGAGTCTCGTGATGCGACGCCATACATCATTGTTGTGAGTATCGTGGGTTTGAATACACGGACCGCTTGCAAAGATGTACATAGCTGCATCAATGATACAATCCATGAGATAATCTGGTTATTACTACTACTGACGCATGTTGTTCAGCCCGAGGCCGAAATAATCACCGGGTGTTTGTGACGGACGTGTATCGCTACCAGCACTTACGTCGCTCCCACCGGGGCTAATGTCACCACTGTCTCGCGCCATCATACCAGTACCATCGGCCCCAAAATCACTGCCTGTGCCGTTCAATGCTCTGAGCCCATTGTTTTGTCCCCGCAGCGGTACATTTAGCCGTGCGGTTTCGAACGTAAAATGCGACTGGCCATGGACTGGTTCCGCTGATGGTGTCTTCAGCTCAACAAGCTCCAACGTACTTCGGAGTGTTGCGCCAGATTCATCAAGAGCCATGAGAAATCGCGCGAGTTCTTTGCATAGCTCCCAATCCTGTTCGTCTTTGGCGCGTTGAAGTAAGCGCACGACTTGATCGCCTGTCGGTCGCAGTTCTTCGAAAGTGTGAAGAACAAGGAGATAGCCACCTGCAGTCTTAAGATTCCCTTTCTGTAGCGATTCTTCGAATAGTTCTTCCGGTGGAGGCAGGTTCGAGAATAATGTCCGCCATGAACGGACCTCAGTTTTACGGGTACATTGCACAACAATGTCGAGATATCGGGGAAAGGAGCTCAGGAATGATAGCACGCTCGGCAATAGCGCCTGTTCGGGTGGTGGCTGCGTATCCACTTCTTCGTCCAAGACTTCATGCAGTAAGATCTCCAAAGCATGGGGGAAATATAGCAAATGCTGGTAATGGTGGCTAAGATGCAAGGCTGCAGGGTGATTGAACTGCGCCAGGTGACACCGCAGCAATGCGGGGAGAAAGAGGTGTGTCTAGCATGTGTGTCAGCATGAGATCAGTGTACCACCAATGACGCGGGAGCAGAGCGCAGAGACTTACCCTGGTTCCGAAGCGCAAGAACGCGAAGCTCGTATCCCTGCGTTGAATCAACTCTGACTCCACCCCGAATATGATTGCTTTGTTAATCAATGCCGAAAGAGGATAGAAGTCGACGGGGATTTGAACAGGCGTGGGCAGTTCCCTGCCGATCTCTGGTGACGCGGAAGCAAGGACGTCTTGCATGTCTATCCAAACTCGAATGTCGTTACCATCGAAGAACCACAATGAGTCACGTAAATCGTGGCCGTGGACACCCTCCATGGTCAGTTCCATAGAGGGGCTCGCCGGCAACGAATCGGCATGTCGGTCCAATGCGAACGCAGGGTGATCGCGCATAAGAGCGTACGTCTCCACGTTCTGCGCGATGATGCGCATCTCGTATTTGAGTTCGCCACTCTCGGTAGTCGTTGGCTGCAGGAGCACAAGTTTACCATCTACGAGGAACAGGATAGTCGCGACCGCCACGTCCTGTGTTGGATCACCGTTATCTAAGACGTGTCAGCAGTTACAGTGCCGTAGGATCAAAGGACGTACGTATTTGATCTTCCGGTAATATCCAGCTAAGCGCTCGCACTCGTGTAGGAGCCCGAATGATGCCATGCAGGGCGATTTGACCCACTTGCACCAATTTCACACTTGCGTCGGACACACTGATTACGTAGTGGTACAATATATTCTCGTACGTGTAGACCAGGAGTGAATCTTCGCCGGAGGGTGCTATCAGTACGATGGGCGCAGGTAGCTTCTGCGTATGCATGACATGGCTGTTGTCAAGAGCCGCCTCGCGCGAATATACCCGGACCTTGACAAGTGAGTCAGTATAAATCGAAGCGAGAGCCTGGATGTACCTACTTCGTGAGACTCGCGGCATTCGACAGCCGCAATCAAGACATGCTGGAACCAGCACATACCTCCTCGGACAGTGAATTCGTTTTCTATAAAAGGATCATCGAACATTTTCCACCGTCCGCTGTTAACGGAGTAGTGGGCGAGCCCTCTCTTGCCTGCTATTGCCACATATCGACCGTCATTCGAAATGACTGCACTTCTAATCGGCCATTGGTCGACAAGGTAAGCCGATGGAATTTGAACATGGTGCCAGAGTGAGACGTCGGCGGAGATTGTCGTCAGATCTGGCAGATCGTAACCGCGGTAAATCATGAATCCGGTACTGGTCTGCATCAAAGATCGTGACACATTTGCCGAAGAGAAGCAGCCAGTGACTGCACTGCGAGCCATCTCCAAAACAAACAGACGGTTGTCGTTGTCGCCCAACATCAAGAGCTCCGCACCACCTCCAATCCAGAAAGCCTCTTTGACACTGAGAAGCCACCCTTCGTTGTTGGTCTTGGAAAGCGTCCTTTCTGCAGTGAAGCTGGTGGCCCCGGGCTTTCCGTATACACTCCACATAGCCCAACCGTGTTCATAGCCAGCGAACAGACAATACCCGTCTGGCGAGTATGTCAATACAGTCAATTTGCCGGGCGAAGTGACGTTCGGTCGTAGTTTATGCGACAGAGGGATGTTGCCGGTATAGTCGCGTGCGGTGTATACATGGATCTCGCCACTGGTGCAGCCAACAGCAAGCAAAGAGAATCTCGCATTAATCGCAGCTTTGACACCATAATCGGCATCAGTCTTGGGTGTGTGGAAGCCGTAGCCACGGAAGAGACTAGAAGCAGCAGCATCTCGTCTAGCCGCTTTTTGAACGGCAAAAGCTTTTCCGTCACCTGTGATCCAGCACGACAGGTTCATGGGTCGATCGTGGACCATTTCTCGCATTGATGCGTTGCTCCCTAACCATGTCATCTTGGTCAGAAGCTCGGTGCTGGTCTGGCTTCCAGCGTTGTCGGGCGCCCAACGAATACATTGCACGGCTGCCGGCTTCTCGGTGGCCACGACCAACTCGTCGTCCAGAGCCAGAGCCCGAATTATCCCAGCATCCACCCGTATCACCATCCGGAACCGCAGACTGAGCTCTTTCAGGCCATTGCCCTCTCCAGGTCCTGCATTGACATCATGCTGGCGCTGGATCTTGAAGCCTGTGATTGCACTGCTTTTCCTCGCGTGACCTCCGTGTGTGTTGGTGAATTGAGCCTGGTATATGCGGGATGAATGGTCTGTCGCGAGCGAGTACGTGATGAGGAAGCCGAGCGCGGTCTGGACGACGAAAATTTGGGAGTCGGGGCGGAGTAGGACGTCTGTATTGGGGCCGTATGTTCTAACGGATTGC